AGCTATCTGCTGGATTGCCATGACATTATGTACAGACATTTGTGGCCCCTAAAGGATGAATCCTACTGAATTAGGCTATTATCATATATATTGGACCTGATGATGGGACTGAATGAAAAGTCAGTGGATCACGAAACTCATTAGTAAAGCGATGGTGATTGAGGGTTTTTTTGATACAAAAGTTCTTTACATCGGGTCAAACTTTTGATTTGTTCAATACTTTTATATGTTTATGACCAAATACCTGCAAACATAATCACACTCCCATCAGCCTCAGCTGTACTTTCTGTTTAGTGCTATTTAGCAAATGTTAGCATAATTTGGACGGTGAAGATGATAATTGACTTGCTAAACATCTGCTTATTAACATTAAAGGCAAAACTCACTGCATCATCTAACACAAGACAAAATGCTCACACCCATTGTTTTCTATGTATGCCTACATACATGGGGCATTGAATTTAAGTGCATCAACTCGTCAGTTATTGCCCACTCTCATGGGTGCATCACTGACCATTTCCCAGCGTTTGTGTGGGAACCTATTATGCTCATTTCCAGCTCTGTATTCTTAGTCTGAGGCGCCACTGGGGTAGCTTTACAAAAACATCTTTATTGATCTCATACTGGCCCTTCATGCAGCCCCTTAGTTCATCCTCTCTCTGAAACAAGCTAACTATCTAAGCCAGCCACCCCTCTCCCTAAAAGCCAACTTTGTGGAAGCCTGCTGAGTGTTTCTGGGGACCGGGCCTCACTGATTACTGTACAAAAGCATGACTTCAGTGAATCTGGATCATATTTTGTGTAGGGAAATTTGTTGGGTTAGTACAGTACTTCATTATAATGCTGTTTGTAACATTTTACCTTTATCAAACAAATGATAGCTTCTGCAGCTTGCATATTGCACTTGCCCATTTTGATCATATTTAAATGAACAGTGCCCTAATGGAAATATAACCATAGCTACTTGTTGTTAGCAGTTATCTACTTTAACTGCTAAGTAGCTGCTGTTGTTAGCTAGCTAACAGTGCAGCTAGCCACCCTATTGGTTGACTGTGCCCAGACTGGGAGCTCAGAGCACTGAGGACACGTTGGTGTTTAGTACAGGAGCTTTGGACCGCCAGTAGCTCTGGTGCCTCAAACTCTCAGTCATTTAGCAACAGTTTAACAGATAGCAATTTTGCTAAAAGCAACAAGTAAGGCTAATATGTCCGTCAGGAAACTCGGAGAGTTCAGGCAGAGAAGCTGCAGGACATCAGAGGGAAAACCAGAAGACATGTAACTTTCCCTCCACAACCGAAAAAGTGCTACATACAAACATTTGTGGGGATAGTCCCTGCACTTTGTGAGCGTGCTCAGTCGTGCTCTCCCTGGAGCAGATAACCATTTAAAGAAATGTCAGTAAGCCACGTAAAGTCAAAAAAGAGTGAGTCAAAAAGCTCACATAGATTACTTTTACATACATTTACCTAATTATTTGACACTTTATCCTAGTTTAATATTACATCTGACATCTGTAACATTATTTATATATATATATATATATATCAGAAACTAAGAAAAAGCATAATAGGTCCCCATACCTACCTAATCATAGTGTCTCTGGGTAAAAAGAAGACCTGACCTTAGAAATGCAATGCTGATTACACTGTAGACTCGCAGTCTTCCTCTTATCACAGTTTTCAACACAAATGATGCTTTTGCAGTTTTAATACACACACTGTAGGCGCCCTACACCTTTTAAAATGGAGGCTGCCGAAAGAGTTCTTTAGAATGCATCTGGAGCAGAACTCTTCAGTGGTGGAAGGAGTATGGTGGACTTGTACATAAGCAGAACCAAAGTGCTATAGTGACGTAATAGTCATGTCATGCATTCCAATTTTTACTTGAAACTACCTTATAAGCATCAAAATATATATAGTAGAAGTACTGATGACACAGAATGAACCATTTAAGAATGATTATAAGTATTGATGCTTTTATGTGTGTCACTGAAATGTATCAGTTGGTGAAAGTGTGGCTAATTTTAATGGCTGGGTAGTTCACTCACTAAAACTGTCAAAATAAAATTAAATATAACAACATTTGCCTCTAAAATGTAGTAGAGTGAAAGTATAAAGTTGAATAAATGGAAGTACACAAGGGAAGTACAGGTACCTTTTTAAAATTAACAAATTATTTTTATATATTTTTTCTTTTGGGCTTTTATTGCCTTTAATGGATAGTGACAGGAAAGGGGTAGAGAGAGGGGATGACAGGTCGGATTCAAAGCCTGGGCCACTGCAGCAAGGACTCAGCCTTGGCACATGGGGCACCAGTTCTACCAGGTGAGCTATCTGGGCGACCCAAGCAAGGACAAATCATAAACAAAGAGTGCCACCAGTCTTATGGAAAAGAGGTGAACCGGAGACAGGTCCATGGGTGGCCAAGGCTCATTGATGCACGTGGGGAGCGAAGGCTGGCCTGTGTGGTCCGATCCAACAGACGAGCTACTGTTGCTCAAATTGCTGAAAAAGTTAGTTATGTTGGTTCTGATAGAAAGGTGTCAGAACACACAGTGCATCACAGTTTGTTGTGTATGGCGCTGCGTAGCCGCAGAGCTGTCAGGGTGCTCATGCTGACCCCTGTCCACTGCCGAAAGCGCCTACAATGGGCACGTCAGCATCAGAACTGGAACAGAACAATGGAAGAAGGTGGCCTGGTCTGATGAATCACATTTTCTTTTACATCTTAAATCTTGTGGATGGCCAGGTGTGTGTGTGTCGCTTAGCTGGGGAACACATGGCACCAGGATGCACTATGGGAAGAAGGCCATCCAGTGGAGGCAGTGTGATGCTCTGGGGGACGTTCTGCTGGGGAACCTTGGGTCCTGCCATTCATGTGGATGTTACTTTGACACATAGCACCTACCTAAGCATTGTTGCAGACCATGTACACTCTTTCATGACAACAGTATTCCCTGATGGCAGTGGCCTCTTTCAGCAGGATAATGCGCCGTGCCACAAAGCAAAAATGGTTCAGGAATGGTTTGAGAAACACAACGAGTTCAAGGTGTTGACTCGGACTCCAAATTCACCTGATCTCAATCCAATCGAGCATCTGTGGGATGTGCTGGACAAACAACTCTGATCCATGGAGGCCCCACCTCACAACTTACAGGACTGTGAATGTTATTGCTGATAGGTGTGTATATATAGCAATCCAGGTATATTTACTACAGCTATCATTTAATCACTCATAAAGAAGAGCAAACTTGATGCAATAATTATTGTTCACTATTGGCATATCCCAGTTCTGTCTTTCTGGACAGCAAAAGTGGAGCCAGAGCTCTGGGTGTTATCGTAGACACAGATCTACATTTTAAGAGCCTTATCTATAATCTCACACGATCAGCCTTCTACCAAAACTAAAGGTCTTTCTGTCAGAAGCACTCCATGCATTTCTAACAAATAGACTAGACTAGTTATGGTGTATTCACCTGCATATTTATATTTTGCACTTGCACTTATAAAGCACATTGTGTTGCCCTGCATGAAATGTGCTGTATGAATAAAGCTTGATTCAGTCACTCAGTAGAAATCGTAACTGACCTGAAAAGAGTCTTTGACCTTGATAACTATTAAATGGGAACAGAAATGCATTCTGGCCCTAGAATCTGGCTGTTGTTTTCCCTCAGATGAGAATGGATATCTTTCATAGAGAACATTATCGGGGGAAAACTAGAGGATTTTGACCGTCTCTGAACACCCTCGCCCTCTGCAGTGAGCCTCTCACAATCCGTGCGCCAGCATCTTCCAAATGTGCCAGATGTGTTTAAAAACCAAAGTACAAACTTTTGTACAAGTCAGAGTCCATTAAGGTATTTATATTACAATTTAAAATGTGTAACTTTAAAGGGGAGTCTATTGGCAGAAATTGAATTTCAGTAGTTTGTGAGTAAACACCAGTGAAACGCTTGCTTTGCATTCCTGTCTCATCAGCCCCTACACAGCGCATATTTTTGAATGCATTTCCGCTCCACTGAAGTGATGAAGAATAGCTGCAGAGGAAAACATTGGATTGTGTGAAATGATAAGGAGACATCATTTAACTGTCATCTTGTTGCGCTCTCTTCTTCTATGGTGGTTTAATGGCACCTGGCTGAAGAATTAGCTCCATCAGCTAATTCTACTGTTATCTACTATCGCAAAATGGTGTGTGTGTGTGTATGTATATATATATATATAATATATTATTTTATTTTTTTATTTATTTATTTTTTTTCCTGAAACTTTCACTATATCCTGGCAGTAGTACATGAGATGGACAGATTTTTCACAGATCTGTGACAAAAACTGGTTCCTCTTGCTCCTCCTAGTGCTCCCTTTTAAGAATCCACTGGCCCAATCAGAGCCAAGAAAGATAGAAAGATGCTTTGGGTTCGTGGCTGAAGAAAGGTTGATTGTTCAGTCTCATTCCCAGCATCTTTACACGATAACCTGAGAATGAGTACAACAGTAAACTATCTTTCTCAGCTCTGATTGGTTGTTTTCGTTCAGGCCCGGTGGATTCTTGCAAATACCATTAGGAGCATAAGAATAGAGTCCATCAGCCTTCTTATAAGCAGGTGAAGTAGCTTCACACTTTCAACAGTTTATTTGATGGTTTAACAGCAGACTTCTGCTGTGGACCACCAGCCAGGGGGATTTCCTCAAACTGAACAAAGTCTCATTTCTCACAAACGCTTTACATACATACAGTACATGACATTTATGGTTGATATATCAAGAAGGTCAAGGTTAATTGTTAACTTGCCTTTGAATTAGTACCTCATACGTTTCTTCACATGAAAATCTAAAGATTACAGAGGTTAGTATGTAAATATATGAATTGTATCTAATGTCTGCCAAATAACTGCACTTCCAATTGTGAAGATATTGTGTTTCTGCTGGTTGATGACGCTTTTCAGTACAGCTTAGTAAGACAGAGTGAAGCAGTCTGTGTTGTGCTGGCTTCCCCTACAGGTGAAGCTCACCAAGTACATGTGGACACAGCTGCAGTGGAAGCAGAGGATTCCAGAAAGAGAGAGACCTGAAGCTATGGCTGGATACCCAAGACTGGATCACTGGCTCCTAACAGCTGACCTCACACCCCAATTCATACAGGTATGTGTGTGTGCGTTTGCCTGTCTGTATTTTTGGGTCTGGTGATGCCCAGTTATCCACAGAGGTCTCCTCCTCTCCAAAACAAACAGACCTGCTGATTAAAACCACTAAAAACACTGAATAAAGCAGTTCCACCTTAAAAATCACTGTTTCTACCAGACTGTTGGACAGACAAAGGACGTCCCAGAGGGGCTGCGAGCCGAGCTGCTGCTAACGTTAGCTCAGCTTGTTTCTCTGATAACTTAAGATCCAGACGGCCGATGACTAAAATCCTTCATCCTGACAAGCGGCCAGTGAAACGCAGCTTTATCTGAATAAAATGACAGATAAATAGAAAGATAGTTTGAACATTGCTGGAAACATTTGGGATAATGTAAGTACACAACTCAACTACGAACACAGCGTAGCTGTTTATACACTACTCAAAAAAATTTAGGGAACTCTTAATCATCACAGTATAAAACCAAGTCAATTAAACTTCAGAGTTATCAATCTATCCAGTTAGGAAGCATAAGCGATTGTAAATCACTTTAAACTGTTTTGGTGCAAATGAAAGTGACAACAGGTTCACTGGAGAGGCAACAGCAAGACAACCCCCAAAAAGGGAATGGTTTTGCAGGTGTTGGCCACAGACAATAGCTCTCTCCTTATCCTATCCTGTCCCTGTCACTACGGGTAGCATGAGGCGGTACCTGCAGCCCGTTCAGGTTGCACAGGTAGCCCAGCTCCTCCAGGATGGCACATCCATACATGCCGTCGCAAGACGGTTTGCTGTGTCTCCCAGCACAGTCTCAAGAGCACGTTGTGTATTGGTGCATCCGACGCCGCCAAAGTAGTACCTTGATTTTAGGTGTAATTTTGAATCCAGCCCTCAATTGGTTAGTCATTTTTGTTTACATTGACCGTTGTACATCATTTTGCTCTAAACAAATGACACAATGTTGTACAGTAAAGATTTTAAATTTGAATATTTTGTTCATGTGATTTCGATGTGTGATTTAAGTGTTCCCTTAATTTTTTTGAGCAGTGTATATACATTTCAATGCGGAAATGTTACATAGCTTTAATGTGAAAAATGTCAACTGCTCCCAACAACTGCTACTGTGTTTGTGTCCACTGAAAAGGACGTTGAAGGGACAGGATATGTCAGTCTCTAGCGATGAACTATCATGTTGCTTTGAAGAATGAAGAGAAACAAAATGAAAATTCACTCTTATTATCAGGCTATTATGTCTTCTTTATGGTCAAGCTAAAAAATAGCAAACGAAAGAAACTGGAATTGTAAGGCAGAATACTTGGCACCATGAAAATAAATTAGTAATTAAATACACCACATGAAGAAACACAGCCATTTGGTGTCGTAGTTTGGTTTAACCGTAGGGCTGGGAAATGAATGCCTCACCGGACAGCGTTTCTGTTGTCTACAGATCGACAAATAAAAGGAGAAAAAAACCCACTAAAGTTGACATGGTGGATTGTTGTCAGAACCACCCTGCTGGTCTTTATCACAGAGAAAGTAAGGGGTCTCAAGGGCGGCTGTGGCTCAAGTGGTAGAGCAGGTCATCTACTTAATCCGTTGGATTTGTGTCCAGCTTGATCCCAACTTGCTATGACTATGACTTGCTTTAGTCTAGATTGTAGGCCGATGTGCAATGGTTTCTTCTTCTTCTGTGTGAGAGGAGTGTGAGTGGAAGAGCTGAATGAAATTGAGTTTTTTTCTCTATTTCTATTTCTTTTTGCTTTTTTTTGTGAATATAGTTGTTGTTTAGTGTTGCTTTGGTTGGTTTTTGGTTAGTTTAGTGTTTGTTTGTCTTTCGTTTGTCAGCCACACTCTGAGGAGCTGAGGTATGGCGTCCAGCAGCGGATATGCTTTTTTTTTTTCTCACTGTCTGACATGAAATCGGACAATCACTTTTCCTGTTTTAGGTCCGTTAAGATTACCAACATTATTTCTATTTGCTAAATGCCAGAATAACGAGAGAAGGATTTTTTTAGACAATTTTTTATTACTTTCTTCAAAGTCAGAAGTTTATATACACTAAGATTACTATGCCTTTAAACAATTTGGGAAAGCCCAGATGATGTCTTTGGAAGCTTCTGATTAGAGTTAATTAGAGACACACCTGTGGATGTATTTTAAGGCACACCTGAAACACACTGCTTCTGTGTGCAACATCATGGGAAAGTCAAAAGAAATCAGCCCAGATATCAGGAAGAGAATTGTGGACTTGCACAAGTCCGGTTCATCCTTGGGTGCAATTTCCAGATGCCTGAAGGTGACACGTTCATCTGTTCAAACAATTATACGCTAGTATAAACCCCATGGGAATGTCCAGCCATCATACCGCTCAGGAAGGAGACGGGTTCTGTGTCCCAGAGTTGAACGTGCTTTGGTCCGAAATGTGCATATCAACCCAAGAACAAAAGCAAAAGACCTTGTGAAGATGCTGGCTGAAGCTGGTAAGAGTGTGTCGTTATCCACAGTGAAACGAGTACTGTACCGACATGGGCTGAAAGGCCACTCTGCCAGGAAGAAGCCATTACTCCAAAAGACACATGAAAAAGCCAGATGACAGTTTGCAAATGCACACAGGGACAAAGACCTTAATTTTTGGAGACATGTCCTGTGGTCTGACGAAACTAAAATCAAACTGTTTGTCTTTTTTACAACAGACCAAAGGGAAGACGAATTTAATGTTAGAACAGTACTTCCATGATATGCAAGGTTTCTATAATTCAGCCAGGTACATTGTAAATCACAGAGCCGAGTCAGACCTGACAGACCAAGAAGTATTCAGACTGAAAAAACAGATGATTAAAGTCAGGAAACAACTTGTTTTTTTAATGATGACGAAAGTACGGATTTTATTTTTATTTATTTCATTGATTGTTTTTAGTCTTGTTCTTAATATCTCCATCATTATGGATGTTTTTAAAGTAGGCAGTCTGAATGTCAATGGTGCCAGAGAAACAAGAAAGAGAGCAGTAGTGTTTGAAACAGCTAAAATGAAACACATTGATGTCCTGTTTCACACAGTGATGTTGGAAACGAGGCAGACTGGAGCAGAGAATGGGAAGGAGAATTGGTTTTAAGCCATAACACCACCCTCAGTGGAGGAGTGGGCTTTCTGTTCTCTAGAGGTTTTACTCCAACCTCTCTGGAGGTCAGGCATGTTGTGAAGGGGAGGTGCCTTTCAGTCAAAGCTCTTTTTGAACATTTTAATGTGGTTTTTTATCAACATTTATGCTCCAAACAACGGTGCAGAGAGGAAACACTTCTTTGAAAAGATGAATGATATTTTAAACAGCTGTGGCCCGGAGGATTATTTATTTGTGGGTGGGGATTTTAATTGTACTGAAAATTAGATTTTAGATCGCAACCATGCAGAGCCTCATCCAGTATCCCAGCATGCCTTGAGGCAGTTGGTCTCCTCCCATGGCCTGGTGGATGTGTGGAGAAGGATGCAAACAGGGTGCAGACAGTACACATGGTCCCACGTTAGTGAAAACAGAATCTCCTCGGCCAGACATGATCGTTTTTATGTTTTTAAGCAGTGTTGTAAAAATGTTTAAGATTTTACCACTTGGTTTTACTGATCATTCTTTGGTTTTATGTAATGTTTTTATCAGAAACATTTTACCCAAAAGCGCCTATTGGCATTTTAACGAGTTTGTCAGTCTGAGGCAGTGGTGGGACCATGGAAAGATCTATCAGAGATCTGGAGACTGATATTGTGGATCTTGAGTGTGCAAGTGAGTCCACAGGAAATCGAGGATATATTGAAATCCTCAAGACTAAAAAGATGGCATTAGCCAACCTGCTGGACACTAAAGTACAGTGCTGGTCCAGTCCCGGGTTCAAAATATCACAGAGATGGATGCTCCATTGAGCTTCTTCTTTGGACTTGAGAAGAGACAAGGGCAGAGGAGACAAATCCAGTTTCTGCTCTCTGAGACAGGGCAAGAGCTGACAGAGCCAGGCCTCATAAGGAAAAGAGCTGTCGAGTTTTACGCATCATTGTTTGAAAGCAAATTTAAAGAGAATGAAGAACTGATGGAGGAGGTCTGTGGTGGACTTCCTCAGATGTCTAAAGAGGCTAACTCACAGCTCGACAGCCCACTGACTCCACAAGAGCTGTACACTGTACTGCAGAGCATGCAGGGGTGAAAGGTTCCAGGCATCAACGGCCTCACTGTAGAATCCTACAAAGCTTTCTGGGACATCTTGGCCCATGACATCTTAGAGAGCCTGGTGTCTGGGTCACTGCCTCTGTCATGTCGGAGAGCCATCATCACCCTCTTGCCCAAGAAAGGAAACTTACAAGATATCAGAAACTGGCATCCTGTCTCTCTCCTCTGCACTGATTATAAAATATTATCCAAAGTCCTGGCCAATAGGCTGAGAGGAACCATGGAGCAGATTCTCCACCGGGACCAGACGTACTGTGTGCCCGGCAGGTCTATGGTCGATAATATCTACCTCATTCGGGGTGTTTTGTTGGTCTCCAGTTCATTAGGCATAACCACTGGATTGATCTCATTAGATCAAGAAAAGGCTTTTGACCGAGTTGAACACGACTTCCTTTGAAAGGTCATGGAGAGGTTTGGGTTCAGGGCTGGTCTCATAGCCAAGATCAAGGTGTTGTACAGCGACATTGAGAGTGTGCTGAAGTTTAATGGTGGCTTGTGTGCTCCTTTTAGAGTGCATAGAGGCGTCCGGCAGGGCTGTGTAATCGAGAAGTTTTCTGTTGTGTCGGCTGTGAGGGGGAACTGGAGGAAGGGTGAGGCCCTTGGTGTTGGTGAGTGGCGTGAGGGCCTCCCCGTTCTCCCTCAAAGCCTGACATGGAAAAGAGAAGGCTTAAAGTATCTTGGTATTTATCTAGGGAACAGCGACATCGGGAAAAAAAACTGGGAAAACATCATGGAGACAGTAGATACCAAACTGTCTAAGTGGAGGTGGCTCCACTCACAAATGTCTTTTAGAGGGAGGGTCCTAATTT